AAGGGGGTGGCGGGGGGGGATGGGTTGAAATCCTTGCCCTGAGCCCGTCCTGATTTCCCGTTCAATCCGGGGATTTCCCCGTCCAGCCCCGGGAAAGATTGTCAGTTCGGACGGGGTTCAGGACGTGGATGTCAACCCGTCCCCGGCCGCCTGAAAAAGTGTTTTTGCGGCGGGATGCCCACGTGTTCTCATTTTTTAGACCCCAAGTTCATTGTTTTGTTAGAGGATAATGTGATTAATAATTTATTGATAAAAAAGTAGATTTTGAAAAATGGGCTCTGTAGATATAACTTGTTAATCAAAATTTTTCATCCCCGGATTCCCCCATATTCTACCGAATTACCCCGTCAAGAGCATGGAGGAATCCGGGGGTTGTGCTAGCAGGGCACTTGACTAAAAAATCTGAAACTTTATAAAAGTGGTAAAAATAGTAATGAACCCAAAACTAAACTTAACTTATATATAAATAAGTTAAATAAATGAAATATAATAAACGAGAGTAAAGTTGTTGCGCATGTTACCAGAACGGTAAGTTGGACCTCGTGTAATTTTGAGTAGACGACCTGTTGGCCACCATTTTTTCAGGCATATCAAGTAACCCAATAAAATATAAAGTATAACCAAGTGAAAAAAATGTCTACATTTTTCACAGGCAATAAACTATGAGTAAGAAACAAATGTAAGTATATTTCTGTGTTTATTTATGGCAGGCTATTTTTTACGAAAACTTTATATACCTTAAAACGTTTCTAGGAGCCAACTTATGTTTCCATCAAAACACCACCTTAACTTACCCTTGGCCACTACATCAAACAGCACCGTTAGAAAGGAGACTTGAAAAGGCATCTGCAGTATTGACTTCATTTTAGCTATGAAGTTGCAGTTCACCGGCCTCCTATTTAAGCAGGGCTGCGTGAACTTTAGTCACGTGAGCTAAAAGTGATCAAGCCAATGAGCAAGCTCTTGTAATTTTTAAAGGAATTTGCTGCCGAAATATTGGGCAATGGAAAGGGTAAAACGTAAATTTGAGACGGTTTGAGCTTCATTATAGTCTGTTTGATAGCTCATTATCGAATTTGTGGAGATGAATATAAAAGACAACTATTCACAAAATTTACATAGCATTACACGCTCCTTGGATAATGTTTTCACAGGTTCTAGTTTATTCATGATCCCCCGCATCCTTTATATAGCAAAGGAGGTTTGTAACTAAAGTAAAACTCCCTTATGGTGCATTCATTGATCATCAGAAACTTCCTCTTTCTGCTCTTGCTGCCTCTAAAGGTGAAAAAATTGCCCTAAAGAATGTCAAACTATTTAAAAAAGCGCACAAGTTAAAAAAATATTTATGAAAAACAGCCATTCCCCTGGCCCGTTATGGTCGTTCATAATTTACATGAACCCATTATCTCTCCCTGAATCTGTTTACATGTGGTATGGCCACAATGAATGGAGGTCGTACTCTGGTAAATTTTTTCATGAGACTTTTTAAAATAAGGTATTATCTTTTTTATTTTATCGTGAAGAATAATGCAGAGATTGCTCATACCCATTAAAGCATTCAAGAAGTCAAGATAGGCGAACGAACGTTTTCGATTAATTCATCATCAGGCGTGTACAATAATATAAT